GGAACGGTTTTTTTTTTTTTATGGAAAGTGGAATTTTTAAATTCAAATATCATCGTGTCAGCTCATTAAAAAATTTCCAAATATAATTGTGAATGAGAAAAATTAAAAGACCTCCCGATCGCACTCAAAATTCGGTTGCGACGGGGGTCTTCTTAACAGTTTTGGACGTTGTTCGGAAAATCGGATATCAATCGTAAAACTCCCAATTCCGGAAATAATTTAAACCAATCGAAATATCCACGTATTGGTAGAGAGAGAGAGAGAGAGAGAGAGAGAGAGAGAGAGAAATACTGAAATGTAAGAGTTTTAAAAACTCAGAGGATGTGTGGAGAGAGAGTATACAAAACCGGAAATAATTTCCAAAAGTCGTAAGTTTTTACCGAAACCCGTGTTGCCCATCACTTAAGGGCAATCAAAAAAGACGTTATTTAAGAATTTGAAAATGAAGGAAATCAACTTGTTGTCGAACGTTCCACATTTGTTTAAAAATCGAATAAATAAATAAATAAATAACACCCTTTGCTAGTACATTCATTCAGTAATAATGAGATCAAGTAGAAACCTAAAAATGATTCCCCATGAATTGGAACCTGTCTCTCGTGATTAAAAATTAAAAAAAAAATTGTTAATAAATTGTCGCGGTAGTGATAAAATAATAATAATAATAATAATCACGAGGAGTTTAAGTAATTAATTAATTAATACAAATTAATTTTTTCCACCGCTTTTCCGATACTCCTACGATAAATACGTTAAAAAAAAATTAGGTCAACTATTAGAATAGACTAAAGAAACAGAAATTTTGAAAAAATAGAGAGAGGGAGAAAAAAAAACTTGTTTAATGAGAGAGAGAGAGAGAGAATCGAAAACCGAAATAAAAAAATAAATAAATATTTTCAACATTAATAATATAAATTATTGCGATATTAAAATTATAAAAATAAATTTTTATCAAATCCGTTATCACCGTATAACGTACACGATACTACTACTACTACTACTACTAATATTAATAATAATAATAATAATAATAATAATAATAATATTTGAGTTAATATTCGTCGAGTAGAGTAGTCGTCAAAAAAAAAAAAAAAAGTAAAAACGAACGAACTTAAATGAACATGGGTAGGGAAAGTCACGAACGAAATCATTTTAATATGAAAAATAATCAAAAAAAAAAAAAAAAAAAATGTCGACCCAATTTTAAATACTTAACGAAAGTAATTTTACAAAAAAAAAAAAAAAGTGTTTCTTTCTGGGTCTCCATTTTAA